CACTTTGGAGGTGGCCTCGTGGGGAATGGGAGAAGGGAGGCGGGCAGGGCGGATTGGCCTGGGAGGTTCCCGACCATGGTGGGGCCCTTCGTGGGCACCGGGAAGACCTGGGGAGGGGGTGGCTTGAAGAAAATCAGGAGCTGAAGAGCTTTTGGCCGTGGTGGTTCCCTCATGTGCACAGGACTCGGGTGGGGACGAGGCGAGTGTGGCACCAGGAGCTCAGAGATGGGTAAGCCAGGCTGTGGTGGGGACGAGAAGGGGCCCCGGGGCTGGCTCTGAAAGGCTGGCGCTCAGAAGCTTAAAAAGCTGCAGAGAGACACACACGCGGAGGCCGCGGGACCTGCGGGGCGTGCCCCAGGAGGAGACCCACAGGAGACGGCCTCTGGGCCCGGCCTAGGAGGATTGGGCTGGGGAGGGGCGGGTTCTCTGCACGCAGAGACGAGGGCTGCTCATCGTGCTGGGCTCTGTGTGGCTGTGCCTCCCACGCTTTGAATGGTACCTGGCAATGCCACGCTTAGCCCCATACCCATTTCTTCTCCTGCTGCAAGTGGGTGGCCCTCCCAGCATAAGGGTCAGAGCTCCTGAGCACCTTTGTTTGAAAAGGAGGGAAGCCAGGGCTAGGACGGCCGGGGGAGAATGGCGGGAAGCCTGCCAGGCCCAGGCTGAAACCTGGCATCTGATCACGGAGGGGCAGGAAGAGGATGCCATTCAGCCCACACGAAAGCAGAGCCACCTCTCAGGCTGGCAGTGGTCAGAGTCTCAGATCCAGTCGCCTGTGTGACAGAGATGGGGAGACTGAGGCCTCCAGGGGGGAAGGGAAGAGGAGAAATTGAGGCTTGGGACTTCTAATTCCCCACGTCATCTGCAAAACTCTTAACCGTGAGCACTCAAGTGCCTGGACCCGTGCCTTGCTCTCTGTTAGCACTTGGTACGTTTCAGCTGTTTCTGTTATCCTGATTGGGCAGCCCTCTTATGTCTGGCTAAGACCCAGAGATCTGTTGCAGTCTTCTAAGCTCTGTAAGGCAATCTTGGAAAAGGCTTAGGGAGGAAAGAAAAGTCCTGTAAAAGAAGAATGCTGTGAGTCTGAACTATGCAGGAAAGGACAAACTGCCTCGGTGGAGTGAGCTCCCCATCAGTAGAAGTATTTAAGTAAGGGGAGACTCCCACATGCCCAGAGTATAACAAGAGGGGACGAAGCATTGAATAGTGGCATCACCCTCAGGGGCCACAGAGATTTAAGTCCTGACTGTGGCATCCAGGGAGGAGGAGGAGGCAGGGCTCCGCCTGGCACCCCACGCCCAAGCCCTGGGCCAGGCGTGTCTGTGCTGTTACACCGAGGTGCTGAGCGCCGGTCCTGCCCTCTGACGTGGCGGTTCCCGGATGCCCAGGGTCTCGTCGATGCATTCAGCAAATGCTCATCGAACACTCTCCAGTGCTGGGCGCTGGGAGGATGTGTGTGAACAGGTAGGTAGGAGCCCTGCCACCTTGCAGGTGAGGTTGCAAAGGAGGAAACAGCTGAAAAAGGGAACTCGTGAACAACAGGGGCTCACGCAGCAGGGACTGCCGCAAGGAGGTTCGAGAGTGAGGGACGAGACGCGAGTGGCGGGGCTGGCTGGCGGCTGTCTTCTGCCAAACAGACAGTTCGTGCTTTCGTGTAGTCTGTTGGATTAAGGTTTTCATTTTTGTTTGCGGATTTTATTTCTGAAGAAGGCTCTTTTAATCTTAAAATTATTTTCTTAGGGTTTCTTCGAATACTGCCTTTATAGGTTTGGAATTTATCTTTGTGTGTGGTGTGAAGCGGGTCCCCACGTCACATATTAAGTCCTTTCCCTGCTAAGTTCAGATGCATCCTAATTCGAATGCTAAATTCCCGCAAGGACCAGAGTTCTGTTTCATTGATGTCCTTGTTTCTTAGTTTCGATCATTAGAACTTTAAAGTATGTTTTGATACTATCAGAGAAAGGCCTACCTTCTTCGTTCTCCTTTTTTAGAAATTTTCTTGGGTCTTCTTAAGCATTTCTTTTTTTGGGTGAATTTTAGAATCACCTTGGTAAATTCTGTGACAATTACGCCTTTGCTTTGACTGAGATAGCATTGAAGCTGTCAATTAAATCGAGGAGAATCGATACGTTTGCTGCATGGAGTCTCCCGTTCGGACACGCGACACGTCTTTCAAGTGCGGTAGACTCCTCAGACTGTTCGTCCCTCAGTGACATTTTCATCTTTGTGCCGATCAAGAGTGTCTACTGCAGTTTCTAGGTTTGTTTCTCTTTTGAATGGGATTTTTTTTCTACTAACTTCCCTGTTGAGTTGTTACTGGTGTACAGGGAAGCCACTGATTTAAGTATGGTGACTTTGTTTTTGACCATCATATTATTATAATTGTTAATAAGTATTAATTTTAATATAGTTTTGATTTACCTGGATTTTCTAGGAAGATGAAGCTATAACATCTGCAAATAATGACTGTTTCTTTCTATTGTTTCTCCTGCCCTTTTTTCTTATTTTACTGCATTTGCTAGTGTTGTAAGACAGCACTAAACAGCAGCATCGCCAGCGGGCATTTGTGTCTCTGAAAGTCTTTGTAGGGGGGTGTCTGATGTTTCCCCTTTGAGGCTGATGTTTGCTGCTTGTTTCTGGCGGACGCTGGTTTTCAAGAACTCTTTTCATTCGCTCTGGATCCTCAGAGCAGAACAGTAGCAGGCTGTCGTGGAAGCTTATTTTCCCTGTTTCGGGAGGGTGGAGGTCAGTGACTTGCCATGCCCCCCTTCGCCAGTGCGCTGTCGTGGGAGTGGCGCGGGCGCCGTTCCTCCCCCGGCCAGGTTATGTGAATTGCTCAAGGGCGTTCAGAGGTCCCGTGGGCTTCGGCACCTGTGCACTCAGTCCTCAGGCGGAGAAGGACACGGGTGTTTAGAGAGGAGAAACGGCTGTCAGCGGCGACGCTGAGATGCGGTCCTGGGCCACAGGCTCAGAGTGTTCATTCCATGCCCAGCTGGCCATTGGCAGGTGCGTCCTGCAAGAGCTTCACTTAGGAATGTCATTTTCAGACCTCAGGGGCAAATGCTTGGGCTAATTATACTCCTCATTTCCTGGGGAAGCTCTGTTACCCTCTCTGCAAGGCCCTCTCTGTTTTATGTATGTATTTGATTCCCTTTTATCCTCTCACTCCCTTCCTACCTACCACCCCACACTGTCATCCACAGTTCTCGTCTGTCTAATCCGTGTCAGGTTTTTTGTTTTCACGTGTTCTTGCAAAATATGCATTGTTATTTTTGTGTGCAGCATTTTAAATTTGTATAATATACCTCATTCGGTTTCTTCCTCCCCACCCCCCCCCGACGCTGTGTTCTGTGTTCCTCCACGCCACTGTATGTCCCTGTGTCCGGTTCTAAGTCGCTGTGTGTCCACATGTCTGGCCCCATGTTGTCATGTCTGTGTGTCCCGCTCACGTTGCTGTGTGTACATCTAGTCTTTTGTTTCTGATAGTTGGAGCCCTCCATGTGGGCTGGCCCCCAATTTTCCTCATCCACTTCCCCAGGGATGGACACCGAGGCTGCCCCTGACCCCCTTCCACAAGTAACCCTGGCATGGGCACCCCTGCACTGGGCATGTTGCTGGCCAGGGCGAGGGCGTCCCTGGCGTATACTCCGGGAGCAGAACTTCTGGGTCCTAGGCGATGCCCATGCTTAGCTGTGTAAGTGGGGCCGTGGCCCTCCATGCTGGCCGCCCCGGTCTTCTCTCCCGCCCCTGGGCACGAGGGTACCCAGCTGTGCATGGCGTTTTCACTCTTTCTCATTTTTCCAGTTTAACAGACATTTTACCTTGGAGTTCTTTTTTATTGTTTTTACTTTTCCAGAGTTTGTTATATTTTATAGATGGCAATTCCTTGTCCATTTTAGACATTCCAGCAATGTTTCCTAATCTGTCAGCAGTCTGTTTATATTTGACCATGGAGTTCTTTGTTATACAGTAAATTTGAATTTCGAATCTGTCAGACTCATCACTTTCCTTAACCTAGAGTCTGTGCCTCTGAGTTTTAAGAAGTCCCCCCCTAGATGTGACTCTGCCCACTCTCCCCGCTCACAAATACAGTTGATCTCTGAGCACCCATGTGGTCTCCGTGTAACTTCTGTTATTATGTATTGTTATTTAACTACTAATAGCCTCCCGTTGACTGGAGGCCTTGCCGATAACATAAACAGTCGATTAACACGTATTTTATGCTATATGTGTCATAGACTGTGTTCTTACACTAAAGTAAGCTAGAGGAAAGAGAATGTTAACAAGAAAATCATCAGGAAGAGGAAATATATTTAGGATTCATCAAGTGGAGGCGGATCATTGACAGAGGTCTTTGTCCTCGTGGTCTCTGCATTGAGGAGGCCCAGGAGGGCTGGTCCTGCTGTCCCAGGGGTGGCAGAGGTGGGACAGCCCTGCCGTTCAGGGCTCAGCTGTGTAGTCAATGCTGACTTTCTTCCATTAGCTTTTCTGGATGGTTGTGGATTTCTCTTGCTGCTGCTGCTTTCTTGCTCCTTGTCCTGCCTTGGGTCTTGGAAGCGGTGCCAGAGCCAGGGCTTCTCGTGCATGTGGTGGCTCATCTGGGGAGACTCTCGGGAGAAGCTGAGGAGTGAGGGCTGAGAGCCGGACAGAGCTGGGGTCCTTGCATGGTCTGCTCCTAGGGGCGCTCTGCAGTGTGAGCGGCCCCCGCAGGGCTGTCCTCTCTGTGACTGGGGCTGGGCGTGCAGCCCCGTGCTAGTCTGTTACTGGCTGTGCTCGCCCCAGCCCCAGGCCCCGTGGGGAGGGCTTAGCCTCCCAGGCAGTTCTCCAAAGAAGCTGTGAGCAGCCAACATGCACAGCACCGGGGGCGGGGGGGTGTAGGTTTACCTGCCCAGTGAGGGGGTTCTGGACAGGCCCCGGTGTCATCTGCTTGGTGACCCTGGACTCCTTGGAATCACACGCCTCCTCCAGGCGGTGACTGTGCCTCGTGCTGCCACCCCCAGGCTCCACCAAGGACCTGATCGAGACGTGCTGTGCAGCGGGACAGCAGTGGGCCGTTGACAGTGACGAGTGCCTGGAGATCCCCGAGAGCGGAGCTGAGGGCGCCACGTGCAGGTAGGACGGGTGCCCTGGAGCTGGCAGGGCTGCCCATGCATGCGCCTTCTCCAGGTCCTACTTGCCTCGGACCTCGGCCCCAGCCGCGCAGGTGAGCATGTGCTTCACCTGCTGCCAGGTGCCTGGCTGTGGCTGCCGTGGGCCATCTGGCCAGGCTTTCTCCAGGGGTGGAGAGTCCAAGCCTGGCTTCCAAAAGGCTGGCCTCTTACTCTCCTCCTCTGCCGCCTGTGCTCGTCGTTTCTTCTGATGCTAGTGTTCTCAGAGAAGGAATTACTCATCCCCATGCCCCTCCTTTGCCAGGCCCAGGAGCTATCTCGGTCGGCTGTTCACCCCTTCTTTTTTCCAGGGACACCATCTTATGCAGCCTCCTCGTTTTCCCAGACTAGGAGCATGCAGTTCAGGGAGGTGGTGTGACTCACCCACAGCCACACAGCTCACTGGCAGCATGGCTGGGATTAGACCCCGTGTTTTCTAACGTCCACCCCATGCAACCCCCTTTGGAAAAATCCGTGCTCTAACCACGTCCCTTCCTCTTCCCTTCTGCCGTCCCACCAGTTCGGGGCTACTCGGGAATCGCGGCACGCACCTTTCCGAGTCCTGGGGCTCTGGCGAAGCAGCCCAGCGCGTGCTGGCATCCCTCTTGTGGTGCTCACCACTTCACGGCCAGCAGTGCTGTCACTGGGTGGTACTCGCTGGGACGCGCCTCCTCATGTGGGGCTGGACCCTGCTCCCCACGACCCTCGCCTTCCTGTCCTGGCTGTGCCCTCTGTGCTGCTGCCTAGCGGCCACCTCTGCCCCGGGTGGCCCTGCGGAGATCGGCAGGCAGTGACCAGGGCTCTGCAGGCTGCCCTCCTCCAGGCCAACCGCCCAGCCCTCTCCGGGATTGGGTGTCCCTGTCCTCAGCCCAGGTGGGGAGCTCCGAAGCCAGCCCCTCTTCCTCACAGTCCGGCGGGACCCAGGCCTGAGTCTTCTTGGTTAAGCCAAGAAACAAAACCCGTGTGACTTGGCAGGGCTCGTGCCAGCTATGCCACCAGCGCCAGCCTCCACTGGCTGAGAACTGTGGGTGGGGCTGGGGCTGAGGTGCGCGCTCTGTTGCAGGACAGCCCAGAGGCACTGCTGCGTCTCCTACCTGAAGGAGAAGAGCTGCATGGCCGGCATCCTGGGGGCCAAGGAGGGCGAGGCCTGTGGGGCCGAGGACAACGACACCTGTGGTGTCTCCCTGTACAAGGCAAGCCCCACCTGCGGTGTTCTCAGGGGGTGGGGGGCAGGCTGGCCCGGGCCTAAAGGTCCCCATGCCCTGAAGGATTGGGCTCCCCTGAGGGGCTCCTCATGGGGACTGACACTCACACCGGGGTTCGGGGGGACTCTTCATCTGCACAGAAGTCATCATCAATTATTACACTGACTGATGAATTTACAGAGTATTTTTTGAGCTCCAGTGTGTGCCCCGGGCCCTGTTTCAGGCATCAGGGCTACAGCAGTGAACGACACAGATAACCTTCCTTTCTAGTCAGGAAGACAGACGATCAGGATGGGTGTGTCAGTGTGCGGTGGGGTGGCAGCTGATCCTGCTGTAAGAGGAAATACTAGAGAGGAGGGGTGAGCAGTGTCAGGTCTAGAATTTCGGCTGACAGCAGCTGGGGACAGCCTCCCCGGGAAGGGACTTTTGTGCAAAGCCCTGGGGAGCGGTGAGCCCTGTGAAGTCTGTGGGAAGGTCTGTGGGAATGCCTTCCGGGCAGGGGAACAGCAAGTGCAAAGGCCCTTAGGTAAGCGCTTGCTTGGCATGTCCAAGGAATGGCGGGGTGGAGCCAGCGGGGCTGGAGCAGCCGGCGCTGAGGCCAGCGAGGTGATGGGCAGAGCCGGTCCGTTGCCGGGAGGTTTGATTCAGAGTGAGGCAGACGCCAGGGAGAATTTTGAAGGGATGTCACCCCCTGGCAATTGCAGGGACTGGTCATTGAGGCTGGTTCTCCTGTGTGGGCAGTGGGATCGGGATGGGGTAGGACCTCACCTGGCAGCACTGGGGCAGAGAGGATGATGTTCTGGGCAGAGGGGGCAGTGAGAGCTAAGGCGCAGAGGCAGGAGCGTGTGGGAGTAGGGCATGTGGTCCAGCAGGCCTGGCAGCAGTGGGCAAGGGTGCCTGGAGTCCTTGGCTGGAACACGAAGGACCGTAAATGTTACTCTGAGAACTTCGGTCTCTAAGTGGAGGGTCCACAGGGCTGGGGAAGGACTTACAGAAGACCGGATTGTGTGCTAGAGCTCACGCTGGCCTCTGGGCTACAAGTTTGGCTACAAGTCATGGAGAGCACCCTAGAACATTGGCTTTCTCTCATGTGCTGGAGGCGGGCAAGCCCGAGATGGAGGTATGAGCGGCTCCTTGGTCACGTAGGTGGCAGCTGTCTGCTGCTTTGCCAACTGATCTGCTTCCTTGTGGTCCAAGATGGCCACTCAAGTCCTGGGCAGGGGCAGGAGGAGGGCACAGAAGAGCTTCCCTTCTTGTAAATGATTTTTGATCCTGGTAAAATGCACATGGTATAAAACTGATGATCGCAACCATTTTTACGTGTGCTGCTCAGTGGCTCCAGGACCTTCACGTTGTGCAGCCATGGCCACCATCCGCCCCGGAGCTTATTCGTCTTCCCAGACTGGCACTCTGTCCCCGTCACTCACTCACGCCTCATCCCTCCTCCCTGGCCCCTGCTGACTGCCATCCTACTTTCTGTCTTCATGAGTGTGCCTTGTTTAGGGACCTCATTTAGGTGGATTTGTGCAGTATTTGTCCTTTTGTGCTTAGCAAAGTGTCCTCAAGTTGCATCCATGTTGTAGCACGTGTCAGAATTTCCTTTCTTTTTAGGGCCGAATAATGTTCCATTGTGCGGATAGACCACATTTATTCATCCATTCATCCGTCATGGACACTAGATTCCTTTCATCTTTTGGGCATTGTGAATAATGCCGCTGTGAACGTGGGCCCCCTTCTTTGAGGGGCGACTGTACTTCTGCTTAGGTCTCCTTGGCTAGAGCTGAGTGTGGCGGCCACACCTGGCTGCAAGGCAGGCCGGGAGGTGTGGTCTTTTTTCCGGGAGGTCCAGTGTCCCACTGAAAATGAGGAGGACGGGCGAACAGACTGGAATCGAGAGCTGTCTGGCTGTGCAGGGCGCAGGCAAACTAGGGCAGGGACAGTTTCAGGAAACGTCGCAGAAGGGGCGTCCTCCCAACTGGGGAGAGGAGGGAAGGAGTTGAAGCCCACCTGTCAAGCCTGGGTGATAGTGACAGAGGTCTCTGGATGATGGCAGCATTTGGGAGAGAATTTTGACCTCCATTTTTGTCACATTGAGGTCGATTTTTCTTAAAAGCAACTGGTATTGGTGAGAGGACCTTGCTGACAGGCCAGTTTAGAGTCCCCTTTCTGTCTTTACGTTTGACGCTGGCCAGTTCTCTTCTCTGAGCCTCAGCTTCCCCATCTATAAGGTGGGATAACAGTCCATGTCTCATGGGTGGCTGTGAGGGTCAGAGATCATACAGACTAAGTGCTGTTAAAGTACGTGGTGGGCCTTCAGTAAGCGGAGGCGCTCAGCACCGAGAGATGCAGGCTGAGAGTGTCAGTTAGCTGTTGCTTGGTAACACAGCATCTAAAACTTGGTGGCTTATTTCTGGCTTAGTGCATGAATCTATGGTCAGCTGAGTGAGCACTTCTGATGTGGGCCATGCCCAACTGACCCTGGCTGGGCTTACATGGCCGCTGTCAGCCAGTGGCTCCACTGGGGCTGCAAGATCTAGGACAGCATCGTCTGGGATGACTCATATCTGCTCCATGCAGTCTCTCAGCCCCAGCAGTGAGCATGGGCTTGGTCAGTTAGTGGCTGTGCAGAGCTCCAAGAAAGGAAATGGAAGCATTCAAGGCCTTTTAAAGCCTAGGCTAAAAACTGGCATGCTATCGTGTCTGTGTCATTCTATTGGCCAAAACAAGTCACCAGGCACAGCTAAGAGGTTGGAAATGCACTCACTGTCTTAATAGGAGCAGCTGCGACATCAGTCAGTCAGTAGCAACTGCAATATGGTTGCAAAGTAGTGAACACAGAGAAGAGTGAATAATTGGGGCTATTATTGCAACCAGTCTGCCACTGTATTTTAAAATAATTACACGAAATTTGTTTTTGCAGATATGCAGTCTGGGATGGGATAGATTTACATCTTCTAAGACCCAGGCTTCTATTTTTCTGTTTAATCATCTTTAGCTTGTAGCCTCCATCCTCAGGGTCTCTTCATGGCCCAAAATGGCTGCTAAAGCTCCAGTCATTACCTACGTGCTCCATGGAGGAAGAGGGAGAGCAAAAAGGATGTACTTCCAAGTAGCGTCAGCTCCAGTTAAAAGCTCTCCTGAGAGCTCCATGCAGCGATCTACCTCTAATTGCAAGGGCCCCTGGGAAATACTGTCTTTTAGCCAACCTGAATAGAACTGGGGTCTACAGTTAAGATGAGGGGGTAATGGGTGTGGCTGGGGGTTAATTTGCAGTTCCTTCCACAAAAGGCCATTTATTTATTATTTATTTCAAAAACTTATGTTGACCCTACCGTGTACCAGACCTGGGAAATGGAGGCAGACAACCCCTCTGCCCCAGGAGAGCACAGACGCTGGCAAAAGGGACAAGATAATGGTTAATTTATCCCCATTTATCAGCCCCTTCCCTGAGCCTGGCCCCAGGCTGTGCTCTGGGGACCCTGCATGAGTTGCACAGGCTCTGAGGGGCCGGGGGTGGGCGGTGATGGCCGTGTCTCTCTTTCCAGCAATGCTGTGACTGCTGTGGCCTGGGCCTCCGTGTGCGGGCTGAGGGCCAGTCGTGCGAGTCCAACCCCAACCTGGGCTACCCCTGCAACCATGTCATGCTCTCCTGCTGTGAGGGCGAGGAGCCCCTCATCGTGCCTGAGGTCCGCTGGCCTCCAGAGCCTGCAGCTGCACCACAGAGAGGTGGGTGCTGCCCCTCCCTGGCTGGGCATCTGGGGCCAAGACTGGGTGACCTCTGGCCTTCTGTGAGGACCCTTTCATCATCTGTGGCTTGAGGAACAGTGGTCTATGGTCTCTGCCCCATTATTTCCAAGATGGTGATCTCATTCAGTTTCCTGTGTACCATCCACTCCAACCACATGACCACCAACTGCTGCCTATCAGCCTTACACTGTCTACTCTCTTTGTCTACCCACACATCCAGACGTCTTCTTTCCCACCTGCTTTTTATCCATCCGTCCATCCATTTCACCCACCCCCTACCCTCAGTTCTCTTTTCTCTCTCCATCCATTCATGTAGCCATTCATTCATTCATCCTCTATCCCATCATCTATCTATCCATCCATCCACGCATCCACCCACCTACCCACTCGTCCACCCATTCACTCATCCATCCATCCATTCATCTGTCTATCCATTTATCCATCCATCCATCCACCTGTCCATCCATCTGTCCATCCTTCTGTCCATCCATCCATCCATCCATCCACCCACCCACCCACTCGTCCACCCATTCACTCATCCATCCATCCATTCATCTGTCTATCCATTTATCCATCCATCCATCCGTCCATCTACTCATCCATCCATCCACCTTCCTACCCACTGATCCACCCATTCACTCACCCATCCATCCATTTATCCATCTATCCATTTATCCATCCATCCATCCATCCATCCACCCACCTACCCTCTCATCCACCTGTTCACTCATCCATCCATCCATCCTTTGTCTTTCTATCTGCTCATGTATTCACTCACAAGCCCAGCCAGCAAGCCTTTCACTCATCTCCTCACTCACTCACTCACCCTTCCTTCTGTCCATCCATCCTCCATCCCTCTCCCCTGTGCCATTCGTGTTTTCCCAGGGTGCAGAGATCACATTAATAAGCATTTCCTCTACTTGCCTGAAGATCTCCTTCAGGCAGAACTGTTTTATCTCTATCTTCCTAGTGCCTGGCCCAGAAGAGTCACTAACAGATGATTGAGTAATTCAATGAATGATAGGTTTGCTTGGTGGCCACCCTTTCACTGCCAGACCCTGAGCCCTTCCAGGGCTGACCAGGCTGTGGCCTCTCTGTGCTGCTGCCCAGAGCCTGTCCCTGAGCGGCCATAGGCAGTGTGTGTGGGAACTGGAGCCTCACTGAGCCTTTGGTTATCAGTGCAGAACCCGGAGCCTGAATCAGCTTGGGCCACATTCTGGAGCTTCCAGCCCTCAGCGTCCCTGGTGTCTCCTCCCTCTTCTTCCCTTTTTGTACTGTGGCCACTGTTCCAGCTGCCATGTCTAGTGCCTATCCCCTGGGCCAGGGCTATCTTCTGGGCCTGTGGCCATTAGCATTCTCTGTGCCCAGTGAGCCTACAGGAGACTGACAAAGGCATCCCAGTGAGCCAGTAGGTGTCCTTTGTGCAGACGGGCCTCGGCAGCCCTGGGCTGGTGCAGTGAATACCCTGGCAGGCCCCGTTTGTGGGTATTCACATGTTCTGCCTTGACTGGCTGGGGCAAGATGCCCAGGAGGGTTCCAGAACCACTAGCCCAGTTTTTTCCTCTGTCCCTGCGGACCATCTGGGCCCCTGTGGGTCTGTCCTGGGCTCTTCGTGGAATGGGAGTTAAAGCCACAGAGGTGGTCCTAGAATCAAGGTTAAACTCATGGCCTCGAGTCAGGCAGACCTGGTTGGAAGCCCAGCTCCTCCACTTACCCGGGGGACCTCACAGCCCTTCTCCGAGCCATCACTGTTTCATCTGTCACACAGGGTCGTACTCTTCACCATGTTCAATGTGATGATGAATGATGTGATGCTTGTCAAGGGCTTACGGCCTTACAATGCTCAGCCATGTTTTAGCAGGTCAGAGGAGGAAGGTGAAGCCCAGAGAGGGGCAGGACCTTGCCCCAGGCACACAGCAGCTCTTTGGCACAGCCAGGACTAGACACCTTGGCTCTGATGACTCCCATTTCTGCCCTGAGTTTGACCCAGACCTAGTCAGCCTTGGCTCGAGTCAACCCAGGTGTCTGTCACAATAATGCAAGATGGCAGGAATCTCACCTGTCTACAGGCTACGGGCCGAGGAACCCGTAGGGGAGGAGCTCACACCCTTTGGGGTACAGATGGGGGAACAGGTACCTGGATCTCCCCTCAGGGTGAGGCAGGGGCACGTCTGTGGAGGTTGGACCAGGCCAGGGCAAATTAACCAAGACAGATGGGCCTCACCACCCTAGTGTGGTACAGCGGCCAAATCAAGCCCCAGGAAGTGCCACTTGCTGAAGTTGGCCTAAAGGGGCTGGCTGAGTACTAGTATGAAGGCCAGGTTAGTACCGAGAAGAGTCTGGTTCAAGGTAGGGTTTGGGAGGAAGTCTGGCATCCGGGGTCAAAGGATGGGAGGATGGGCAGGGTCCAGAGCGAGAGATACATGTCCCCCACTCCTGTGAGGGAGGCACTGATGAGGGTGAGCCGAGCCTGAGTCTTGGAGTTGCTGCCCCGCTTGCAGTGTGCTTAGAGCGGCCCTGGGCCCAACTCCATCTGCTGCCCACCTGCAGTGCTGCATCTCTGCAGAGCCAGACTGCTGGCCATCGCTGCCCTGCCTGCAGGCGCCAGCCAGGGCTGATTGTGCTGCAGCTTAATGTAAACACCCTCCATATGAAACACGTTCCTCAGACGTGACTTCATGCACTGCTCTCTCGGGGGGCTCAGCTGCCTGGGTTTGGTGGGAAGGGCAGAGGCCCTGGGCTGGCACAGAGTTTGGGGGGCTGTAGGTCTCCCCCTGAAGTCCTGGTTGTGTGCTTTTCCCACACTTCTGTACAGCAAGGAAGCTCAGCCTCAGGAGCCTTTTCTCCCACTTTCACCTGCTCCCTGCTGGAGCCCTGGCAGGTGGGTTTATCCCAGAATCTGGAGGCACAGAGAGACCTAGTGCTGTCCAAGGTGACCCAGCCAGGGAAGGCCCAGGTTGGCATTCAGATCTGATCGGATGGAACCCAGGTTTGGGGCACTTCCTGTTGCTAGGGAAGGTCCTCCCTGATGTCACTGAGGTCAGGGGTCTGAATCCAGTTTCACACTTTAGTAAGAGCTTCCATGTGGCCCTGTCTCTGTCCTATTGCAGGGGACTTAGTGAGGAAGACTTGGACCCAGCTCTGGTGGGTTCACTCTTATTGCCGGAAGTCTGTTCATTCATTCACCCATCCATCCATCCATTCATCTGCTCATCCATCTAGCCACTTGTCAATCTGTCCATTCATCTGTTTTTCTACCTATCCACTCACCCTCTGATCCACCTACCATCTATCCACCCATCCACCCATCCATCCATCCATCCACCCACCCATCCATCCATCCATCCATGCGTTTATCCACCTATCCATCCACCCATCTGTCCACCCGTCCATCTGTCCATCCACCCATCCATGCGTTTATCCACCTATCCATCCATCCATCCATTCACCCATCCATCCATCCATCCGCCCATCCATCTTTCCATCCATCCATCCGTCCATCCGTCCATCCACCCATCCATCCATTCATCGATCCACCCATCCATCCATTCATCCATCCACCCATCCATCCATCTATCGACCCACCCATCCACTCATCCATCCATCCATCCATCCACCCACCCATCCATCCATCCATGCATTTATCCACCTATCCATCCACCCATCCGTCCATCTGTCCATCCACCCATCCGTGAGTTTATCCACCTATCCATCCATCCATCCATCCATCCATCCACCCACCCATCAACCCATCAACCCATCCATCCATCCATCCATCCATCCGTCCATCCACCCATCCACCCATCCATCCACCCATCCATCCATCCATCCATCTGTCATCTGTCCACCCATCCATCCATTCGTCCATCCATCCATCCATCCACCCATCCATCCGTCCATCTGTCCATCTGTCCATCCATCCACCCATCCATCCATCCACCCATCTGTCCATCTACCTATCTGTACATTGGTCCATCCATCCATCCATCCATCTGCCCATCCATCTGTCCATCCATCCATCCGTCCATCCATCCATCCATCCATCTATCTATCCATCCATCCATCCACGCATCCATCCATCCGTCCATCCATCCACCCATCTGTCCATCTGTCCACCTGTCTGTACATCAGTCCATCCATCCATCCGTCCATCTGCCCATCCATCTGTCCATCCATCCGTCCATCCATCCATCCACCCATCCATCCATCTATCCATCCATCCATCCATCCATCCACCCATCTGTCTATCTGTCCACCCACCCATCTGTACATCTGTCCATCCACCCATCCACCCATTCATCTATCCATCTATCCGCCCATCTGTCCATTCATCCATCCAGCCATCCAGCCATCTTTTCTCTCTGCTGGGTGCACAGGGGTCTTCATGAGGACCTGTACTGGTTTCTCAAAGCCTGTGGTCTCAGCCACATGCTTGGGCCAAGTCGGCTGTCTTGAGTGCTAACCCCTGCCGCAGTTTCAGAGGCGGAGGTGGCAGCCCGAGAGGCTCTGTCGCTGGGCACGGAGGCCGAGCTGCCCAACAGCCTGCCAGGTGATGACCAAGATGAGTGCCTGCTCCTCCCGGGGGAGCTGTGCCAGCACCTCTGCATCAACACTGTGGGCTCTTACCGTTGTGCCTGCTTTCCTGGCTTCTTGCTGCAGGATGATGGCCGCACCTGCCGCCCAGGTAAGAGCCCTGATGGCAGGGGCTGTGGGCAAGGCTGATCTTGCCCATGCAGCATGGCATTCCTTGGGTGTGTACCATGGGGTCTGTGACCTCCTGCCACACCACCCATTGGAACCTGCAGGAGCCAGAGGCCACCGGTGATGGGGATTTGTGAGGCTGAGCAGATAGGATTCCCTCCTGTAGCTCCATCTGCAGGGACCGGGCCTCAGTGCCTTGCCATAGATTTGAGCTCAGGGGTGGGCTCAGGCCACAGAGGCTCTCTCTAAACCCTGGCTGTGTCCCCAGTGCTGGGCTGGTGGTGGTCCAGGAGGGCTATTGCCCAGCCGGCTGTCCAGGGGATTGATTTGCTTTCAGTCTAGACATTCTTCTCCTCCTTCCTCTCTCCTTCCTGCCTCCTTTCCCTCTATCCCCTCTGCCCCGAGTAGCTGAGGATGATCTTGCCCAAGGCATATCTGCACCTGAACCTCAGTTTCCTCTCCTGCTGAATGAGGTAGGGGATGGAATGTTAGTGCCAGCGTTGTGCCCGGATGCGAGAGGGCCTGTTAGTGCCTGAGGCCTGGCTGAAGCTATGAGACCTCCCCCTCCCGTCTGCTCTGCCCATGACAGACCGCGACCCCTCCCAGCCGGAGGCCACACAGGAGCCTGCACCGAGGTCAGAATTTGCCCAAGTGGCGCCCAACACCATCCCGCTGCCACTGCCACAGCCCAACACCTGCAAAGGTAAGCAGAGGGGGTGACAGGGCGCGAAGCCAGGGGGTGAGCTCTCCGGTGCTGGGAGGGTGCAAGATGGCTCCTGCCGAAGGGGGTGCTTCTGCTTTGGGGGTTGGCAGGGCTCGCCTGCCTGAGGTTGAGTGAGGAGCTGAGAGTGTAGCTGAGGAAGGGGGATGGGGCCTGCGTGTGACCCCAAGCAAGCCAATTAACTGCTTTTTGCCTCTGTTCCTATCAAATCGAGATAATAAAATCCTTGTTTGCTGAGCAGTCATGGAGCCTTCGTTCAGCAATGCCTGGAAAGTTCTTTTCCTCATTCTTCTCCCCTCCTCCCATCCTCTTTCTCCTGCCCTCCTTCCCTGCCTTCTTTCTCTTCCTCCTCGACCGTCCCATTCCCACTGTCATTACTGTCACTTGAGGGACGAATTCGGATCTGAGTGGTGGCGGAAGCAGACCCGGAACATCTTCCCTGCCACCAGCTGGTCTTGGAGCCGCTGTGCTGGGTGAAGCCGTGGGAAGGCGCAGGAGTGAGCTTCCTTGTCTCCAGGCTCCTCGCCTCCTGCGCGTCTAACCCGTAGGTCGGAGCCACGGGGACGAGCCAGTGTGGGCCCAGGCCACGGCCGGGGTCCCTGACTTCTGTGTGGTTTCCTCCAGACAACGGGCCCTGCAGGCAGGTGTGCAGTGTCATCGGGGGCTCAGCCGCATGCTCCTGCTTTCCCGGCTATGCCATTATGGCAGACGGTGTGTCCTGTGAAGGTGAGTACTTCGGGGCTGTCCTCCTGCCTGTGCCAACCGGAGTTGGCCTGTGACGAGGGCCCCCGGCAGGGTGCTGGCTGGGACCTGGAACTTGCTGAGTTCACGAGGGAACAGATTCGGCCGCTGCGATGAAGAGCCCCCAGTAGAGCTCCCTCTTGGGTGGCAGCGCAGTGTGCATGTGCGCCCCAGGGTGGGCCCGCGGTGCTGCTGCAAAAGGTCCAGGAGCCCAGCCTCCTTCTGTCTGGTTGCTCTGCCGTTTCCTGGCGCAGTGGTTCTCACACTTGAGTGTGCATCTGAGTCCACCGAGAGTCCACCTGGTTACAGCAGGGAATGCCACCGACTCCCCAGAGATCCTGATCCAGTGGGTCTGGGGTCGGGCCTGAGAATTCGTATATCTGACCGGGTCTCCGGTGATGTTGGTGCTGCTGGTCCATGGACAGCACCTGGACTCACCCTGTCCTTGGGGTGTCACGGTTGGTGCGGCCGAAGCTGGTTTGTGGCTGCATTCCGTGTTCCAGCCCTAAGTGGAGAAAAAGGAAGGAGAGAAGTGGTGCCTGATTGTTTTAAGGGCAGCACCCAGAAGTGTCCCCAGGGGGCAGTGGGAGGGAGGCTAGAGTGCAGGAAGCCTTGGCTGGGTCTGATATGAAAGCCAAGCGGGGGCTGTGGACACTGGTGATGATGAGCCGCCTCCGTCGTTCACGCGGAGCACGTCCCTCGTACCCCGCAGCCCTGCCTACACCCAGGTCTTACCGCAGCGGGCCCTGTGGACAGGACTTCCCCCTGCAGAATGGGGGCATCGGATCCCACACCCGTGGGGTTGGCTCCCACAGGGAATGACGTCTGAACAAACCTGAGAGGTCTCTAGACTCCACCTCCTCGTATCTGGAGGCAGATACAGACAGCGTTCAGAGAGTCTAGCAAAAGCTTCAGTTCAAGGTCAGGTTCAGGAGATGAGACCCAGGTGGCTGTCTGGGGGTGGCAGAGTTAAGTCTGTCTGGGAGAATACCCACATCCCTCCCAGAAGCTGAGAACCCATGTCCAGCCCCACCTGAGACCGTTGGGATGTGGACGGACCCCATCCTGCAAGCCTAGAGAGGACAGCAGACTTGCCCGCAGCACAGCGCGGTGGTGAGCCGCAGGCCTTGCTCTCAGAGGGCGGGGGCAGGTCTCAGGGCCAGTGTCCTCTGCTTTCCCTCCGCCCCCATCGTCCCCTGAGAACGAGAGGCGTGCACCTCTCCTGGGTCAGGACGCTTTCAAGCCCAGCCCCGCGAGGAGCCTCTGCCTCTGCCTCCGCGCGCCTGGCCCAGTGTCCCTGCCTCTCCAGGCCTCCTGGCCTCCCCAGAGGGCCCCCGGCAGTGACCGCTGTGGGGTCCAGGCCAGAGGCTGCACACGGCGTTCAGAGGGGCAGCCTGCTCTGCGGAGGAATCCTGCTTGGCTCTGCTGTGTTTAAAGTAATCAAATGAGTTACCGACCATGCCAAGCTAAAGAATTTTAAAAACATTTCCAGATTTTGAGCTTCTCTTAAAACTTGTGTAACTGCCTATGAGGGGCCCACGCCACTATCCCCCTTTGGACAGAGCACAGGCCCCGCGTGCCCTTAGAGCCCCCCGTGGCCCTTTTCCGGTTTATGTTGCTGGCGTGGCCCCCTAAACACCTGAGTTTGCACCCCCTCCAGTGGGGTGGTTCCTTTGGCTGCCTGTGGATGTGGGGTGCGTACAGGGTGCGTGGGAGACAGCCTCCAGCCTCACCCTGCTGTGTGACTGTGAGCAGGCTGTGCACCCTCTCTGAGTCTCACCTGACCACCTGTCCTGCTGGGGCACACTCAAACTCGGGCCCAAGGTCCCGCTGTACCACAGACGGGCTGGGAGGCCCTGGGCAGGCCCTGCCTCTCTCGGGGTCTCAGCGTCCCCCTCATGGGATGCTCTGTGGCAGGCCACGCCCCTCTAATGGCCCTTCTGTTTTTCCTTCCTCGGCTGCCACCAGACCGAGACGAGTGCCTAATGGGTGCTCACGATTGTAGCCGGCGACAGTTCTGTGTGAACACCCTGGGATCCTTCTACTGTGTCAACCACACAGTGCTCTGTGCCGAGGGCTTTATCCTCAACGCGCACAGGAAGTGCGTGGGTAAGCCAGAGCCCCCACCTGCCGCCCGCCGCCACGGCTCTGCTCCGCTCCACGCCAAGCCTGCCACCCTGCGGCCACGTGCTGAAGGGCCTGCCCTTTGCACGTGAGCGCTCAGCACAGCTGGCACCCCTGTGCTCCGTGTCATGCTCTCCTGTCCTCGTGTCCTGTCCCACTTGTCTGCCACCTCCACTGGGAAGCCGCTTTCCCTGGGGACATGCTTGTGAGTCAGGAAGCTCTGAACATGTGCCCTGGTGGGTCACTGACCCCTCCTGGGCCATGGGCAAATGAGGAGGTCAGACGTGCCGGCAGCAGGGTAAGCTGTGTGGGGTCTGGAGGCAGGAGGCCTGGGCGCCAAGCAGGACCCCCTGGAATCCCTGTAGCCTCAGGCGAGTGACTTGTCTTCTCCTAGCCATGGTTCCTGCCTGTAACAGGAGGCTCTCGATCCTCCTGTGAGGGTTATGTGACGTGGGAACAGTGCACACAGAGCCTGGGGCACGCTGGGCTTGTCAGGTCAGCTGCTTAGATTGTCTTTAGATGCTTCCAGAGTCCCCTCCAGAGACAAACGGACAGATGCTGGGATCCGGCAGACCCCACCATGCCACCACTTGGCATTCATTTGTTGTGTGATCCTGAGCTGTGGAGCTCTCCTCGCTGAGGCTGTTTCCGCCCCTGTAACTGCAGGGCTGGAGGACTAGGCAAGGGCTTGCACGCAGCGCCTGGCCTGCACGTGACTGGGGCCAGTGCTTGGTCATATCCTTCCCTCCTGTCTTTCAGTGCTCGTGTGGGCTGGGGGCCAGGGCTCCGGGAGTGTTCTGCGGGCAGCCAGGAGGGTGGACTAGGTGCGCTCGTGTGTCCAGAGCGTCTGATGTTTTCGCAGAGGAGACAGGAGTCCTGGCCTCCTCCCTCTCAAGGTCCCAGGTGGAGATAGACTCAGAGTAGCAGGGACTCACAGCAGACTGTGGTAAATGCTGCAACAGAGAGACACAGGCAGACAGAGAGGACATTCCAGCTGGTGGCATTTGAATGCACTTCCTGGAGAAGGTGGAATTGTGCTGGTCTCCAAGGATAGACAGGACTGGGAAGTCAGGAAGGGCACACAGGGTGGAAGGCCAGCTCGAACAAAGGCATGGAGGTAGAAACAGTGCAGAGCGCATTCAGGGCACGTGACCAGGGCCCCGTCTGACTTCTCTGTGCTTGGGGACCATGTCCAGCCTGGACATGTCCCCTTCCTCACCCTCCACTGCTGGGCAGATGGGCCCGTGGTGCTGGGCTGAGCGGCCGCTGTGAACATGTTTGCCCCAGGCCTGCAGCCGTCGGCATAGCACCAGCCTTCCTGAACCTGCTTGCCAGGGGCTGGTGTGTGTGTGTGTGTGTGTGTGTGTGTGTGTGTGTGTGTGTCTGGGAAGGCGGATCCCGCAGGGCCCGCCAGACCCCTCCCGGACGCCCTTCCCTCTCGCTGTGCCTGAGTGTGCAGGCTCCCTGGTTGCCTGGAGTTAAAGCCTTGTGCTGAAAGGGGTCCTGAGGCAGCTGGAAAGTGAGTTGTGGGAATAAACGAGCAAGGGCACATTCCATTCAGCAAAGTTTGCGCCCATGTGAGCATTCCCGCACCCCACTCCCCTTTATTCGTCCCACACGCTCATCGGCGCCTCCTCTTCAGCCTTCCGCTCACGTGTTCATTTCATCATCTTTTAGCCCCTACAAACATCTGGTGTGTTTGTTTGCTCCTTGCGTGTTTATTAACCCAGGCAGGTGGCCCAGCAGGTAAGGCCTGTGCCAGGAGGAAGGGTGTGGCCTTTGCAGCCAGACTGCCTGGCTGCAACTACTAGCTCTTCACTTTCTCGTCATAAGACCTTACACAAGTCAGCTAAGCTCTCCGAGCTTCAGCCTCCTCATTTGTAAATGAGATAATAGCGCCCACCTCGAAGGTGTGGAGATTAAATGCGTTAGTTCACGTAAAGAACTTGCTAGTCTTTCGATGTTGGTATTCTGATTCCACAAGTGTGTTGTACGGAGGCAACCTGCAGAGATGGTGAGCTCCCGTCACCGGAGGTACTAAACTGAGTGGGACAGTATTGGGTGTGACCTGTGCCAGGGACTCCCCTATGCTGTACCGTTTGCCTTTTGTGCCCTGCACTTTGAGGACTACCTTAGGCCCAGAGAAGAGTGCTCCAGGTGTGCCGGGCTGCAGGAAGATGGGAGGGAAGCGTCCCTGACTGAGGCCCGCCCAACAGCAGGCTGCAGGTGCTTGGACGGTGGGGAGGGCACCTGTTTGACTTTGGTTCAGTCACATCACTGCTGGGACGCCTATTTCCTCACCTGTGAAATAGGGCTGTCCTTTCCTGCATAGCAGGGTGGTGTCCTAAAAACTGCCTGACCCCTAGTGAGCCTCAGTTAGTGCTGGCTGCTGCACTCATGACTGGCATTCCTCCGGGATGTGGGAGGCCCCCTGGGCCTTGGCATTGCTGGCTCCTGGGAAAGGTCTTCCTCTGTTAATCCAGCCTGGTAATCTCACGTCTTTATCTTGCTCAGCCAGCCTTCCTTGGGAACCGCTGGCCCAGAGCCCTCCCCTTCCTTCCTCCCCAGCCCTGCCCAAACGCAGGTCTGCCTGGCCTGTGTGCCCTTTGGTTCTTTCGCTGTGGCCTTGCCCACGACCTCTCCACCAGGCCCCCTAGTTGTCCTTGGAGGTTCAGCTCAAATGTCACCGGCCCCGAGAAGCAAATCTGATGGACCAGGACCACAGTGGACAGTTCTCTGCCCTGAGCATCCCCTTCCCACCTGGCTGTCCTGCCCCTGAGGGCCAGGACCAGGCTGACACAGCCGCTTGGCCGCAGGAAGCTGGTGCAGCGTCCGTGCTGGTTAACGTATGTGCAGTGAATGGACGAGCAGAGGAAGGATGTACCTCCCCTGCCAGAGGGCATGCTGGGGGCCGGAGCTGGCTCATTGCTCCACGCCCTCTCAGCCCTGGCCCTGGGCTGGTTTTGGGTTGGCGACATCCGTGGTTCTCCTCCGGCATCCCTGCTGCTCTTTCCCTCCTTTGCTGGCTTCTGTCCTTCCCAGCTGCTTATCCCTGGAGTCTCCTGCGAGTGGGTCTCCTGTGCCCTCTCCCCCAGGTGCCCTCAGCCGCCTGACCACTGCACTCGGACCCCTGTGTGAACTCAGAGGCGTGTCTCCTCTTGCCTCTAAAACTTACGTGGTCAGGAGGGCTCCCCGCCTTCCCCTGCAAGCCTGCTCCTCCACACTGCCCTGTCCCAGGTGCTGGCACTGCCACCTCTCCAGCTGCTTGGCTAAAAGCTCCAGCTCCTCTTTCTCTCTCACCTTCACCTCATCCATCAGTGGGTCTGTGGGTTCTGCCTGCACAGTGCTTCCAGAACCCGGCTGCTTCTCGCCACCTCCACGGATGGTGGTCTGCGTCCCCAAATTTCCTGCCCGGATCCTCACCCCAGAGTATATTCCCTGTCCCCGCCAGGGCACCCTGCTCAAAGTCAGTCAGACCAGTGCCTCCTCTGCTTAGAGCCCTCTTGGGCTCCCATTGTCCTTCCTGCTCACCCTCTTGTCCTTTCTCTCCCCTGCAGCCACACTTGCCTCCTGGCTGCCTTGAGCCTGCCTGACAGGCTTCCTTCTCAGGGCCCTCGCATCCCTGTCCCCATGGGCTGGACTGTCTGCGCGGCTCGTTTTGTCACTCTTCATCCTTGCCCAGATGTCCTCTTCTCTGAGAATCTACTTTAAAACTGGACACACACCACTGCACCTGGGCCATTCTCCTTTCTTCCTCCTGCTCGGTTTCATCCACAGCAGTCCCGACCACCTACTTGCATTTGTGCATCTGTCCGTTATGCCTCCTCCCCTGCGGGTCTGCTCCACAGGGGCAGGGATTCCTGTCTGTGTTGTTCACTGAGGTATCCCGGTACCAAGAACAGTGCTCGGCGCATAGCAGGTGCTCCATAAACCTCTGTTGAATGAAGGGATGCGTGGATAAGGGGACATCAGCCCCATCTCTGGATGGGGAGCACCTTGCGGGCAGGGCGGCGCCCCCTCCCTGTTGGTGGCCGGAGGTCCCATGGCTGCACTCACCTGCTGTCCCTGGAGTATCCCGCAGGCTCTGACCACCTCTCTCCTCGCAGACATCAATGAGTGTGTGACGGACCTGCATACGTGCAGCCGGGCCGAGCACTGCGTGAACACGCTGGGCTCCTTCCGATGCTACAAGGCACTCACCTGTGAGCCGGGCTATGCCCTCAAGGATGGCCAGTGCGAAGGTGAGAGGGGCCACTGGAGGCCTGGCCCCGCCCCAACCGGGCCCCTCCCTAGCCTGGCCCTGCCCCAACCGGGCCCCACCCAGAGCCCTGCCCCAATGGGGCCCCGCCCTAGCCTGGCCCCGCCCCAACCACGCCTCTCCCTAGCCTGGCCCCGCCCCAACAGGGCTCCGCCCCCCCGCCCCACCGCACCTCTGGTCTGCCCAGAGCCATCTGCCTTCCGGCAAACCCTCATCAGTTAGGTTTCCAGCAGGTGGGAAGACACCGCAGATGGTGGTGTTTGGGACAGAAGAGGGCTGGGCAGGGGGACACCAGGGTCTGCCTAGGCTTTGCTGTCGCTTGCTGCTGTCTGGGTGCCAGTCATTTCCCTCGCCGTGGCTCGGTCCCCGTTTGTGCACTGGGGTGGCGCGCCGTGGAGGAGTCACTCCGTCCCTTTCATTGGATAATTCTGGCCTAAGAAGAGGGAGAATTGTTATTCAACCTTTTCAACAAATACATCCTGAGCTGCTTTTATGCTCCCTGGGTACTGGGGATCCAGAGTGGGTATTATGCCCCTTCTCTGGCCTGGTGGTGGGGGAGATGGGGTACACATGCAAATGGGGAGATGCAGAGTGGCTGTACGTTGGGTGCTCCTGTGGGTTGGGGGGTCCAAGGAGGCCCCTGGATGAAGTGAGGTCAGAGTTGAGACCTGAGTGACGAGAAGCTTCTGGGAAGGTGTTCCAGGCTGAAGAAACAGCAAGCGTGGAGGCCCATTGGGTCTGGGGAGGAAGGATCTTGGCATGTTCCAGAAACAGAAAGGTCTCAAAAGTTGGAGCCTTCCTGCCCCCACTGCCACCTCCCTAGTGGTATTGACACCTGGCCTTACATGATGGATTTAAGTACTTGTCCTCATTTATCTCTGCCGCTGGCAAGTGTGGGCAGCAGCTCACAGGTCAGGCTTGGGGCCAGATCACCTGGGTTCCGGTCCCAGCCCAGCACTGCCTACTGTGGAATCATGTCTGTGCCTCAGTTTCCACATCGGTAAGATGGGGCTGGTCACAGCATCCGCTTTCTAGCGTGGCTATGAGGATCAAGTAAATGAGTGTCTCTCCGAGTGCTTAGAACAGGGACCAAAGAGAAGCCCAGTAAATGTGGTTTTGTCACGAATACTACTGGGATGTGGGCTGTGCCAGTAATGTGGCTCCACCGGCTTCCTGGCATGAACACCTTTGAGACCATCAAGGTCTTGGCGGTTTGAGGGCAGGGATGTGTGGGCAGGGCTGTGGGGTGTGAGGGGCAGGGGCCTGCCCGCCCGCCAGCCCTGACGCCTGGCATCTGTGTGGCAGACGTGGACGAGTGTGCGACGGGCACACATACCTGCCAGGCGGGCTTCTCGTGCCAGAACACCAAGGGCTCCTTTTACTGCCAAGCTCGGCAGCGCTGCATGGAGGGCTTCCTGCAGGACCCTGAAGGCAACTGCGTGGGTGAGTGGGGGCTGCAAGCCTGTGCCTCCCGGTCTGGGGCTCTGAGGGAGGCATCGTTGGGGGCTCCGAGGGCTTTAGAGATGGGGACAGCTGGCTCGCTGCTGTGTCGCTCCTGGCCGCACTGCGCCCTCTGTAAGTGGACATGTCAAGTGCCCACCCCGGAGGCACCTGCAGATGGTGGCTGCACTTATTAGCCAGAGCTCTCTGAGCTTGGCTGGATTATTTCTCCCGTGGCCTCAGTTTACCCATCTGTGGGGTTGGACTGGATGAATATATATCAATTTTTTTACCCAGGCAACAGTAAGAACTGTGTTTTATATCATGACCTGGTACATACACACACATCTGGAGCACAAACTTGCACATGATACTGAAAATTTTCATTTTCAGAGTGCTAGTGAGACCTTCTAGAATGATTCCGTGCTGTGCTTGAGAGCTGCAGTTTGACAGATGCCAGCCTAGTTGTCCCCAAGTGGGTCTGAGATTCTGAGTTCTCCCCAGCCCTCATCAACCCCTTCCAAAAAGGCCGTTGGGCCAGCCAGAAAGCCAGGAGGCCCCACCTCCCCAGAGGGTGCTGACCCTGTCCTCCCCAGAGGCAGGGCACCAGTGCGCCCTGGGTAGACCGTATCTGGAGTAGGAGTGACCAAGGTGACACTGCACCTTAGGTGAATGACACAGGAGAGGTGGCAGGGCAGGCACTGCATGGAGCCAGCCGCTGGGGTGGACAGTACGAGGGCCGTAGCTTGTAGGGCAGGGGTCCCCATTTTACAGGGAGAGGACTACGGTGCAAAGGGCAGCTTTGACTTTGTCCAAAGGCTTTCTCAAGACTTTTGGGGTGCCCCCGGCCTGTCTGGGAGCTAGAGCCCACCCCGAGGCACCCCCTTTAACAGCTTCTCACTGTCACCCCACCAGCATCACAGGATGCAGGGGACTCCTTAGGACCCTGTAGTCCCTGGGGTCTGCCCTGGGACCACCCCTTCCCACCAGGGTCAGGGCAAGGTGGGGAGGGGTCTGCCCCACTTCACTCAGCTCCTCAGTGATTCGGGGTTCTTGATGTTGGGGAGCTGCAGTGGTTTAACAAGACATTTTAGATGGGGACAGAGTAAATAAGCAAACACGTTTATAAAAGTAGCAGTTATTTACAGGTGCTTTGATAAATAATAATACAAGTACAAGGTAAAACAGGAAAGACTCCTCTACCTCAGCTGGTCTGGGAGGGCCTCTCTGAGCAGGTGACATTGGGGCAGGGACTTGCAGAAGCAAGCAAGCCAGCCTTGAAGATATTCAGGGGCAGCATGTGCAAAGGCCCTGTGGTGGGGCTGTGCCTGGGTGTCACGCCCTGGGAGGCCAGTGGGGCTGGGAGTGTGTGAGGGAGAGATGAGGGGGGAGGTGACAGGCTGGCAGGCCCCTGAACACTAGGTAGGGCAGGCAGGTTTTACACTTGTAGTCATCCTAAAACCTGGCCTTGATGCCCCCTCTGCCTCTAGCTGCTCCGTCAGGGCCGGATGTGAGAACATAGAATCAGCTGGGCAGCTGCTTGGGTTCTGGGAGCTGGATCCCTTGGCTGGTGGGACACAGGGGTGGGACAGTCTGGCCTTATACCCCTGACCAGGACGGGGCTGAAGCCAGGATTGGCCACATCCCCAGTGTGGCCCAGGGCTCAGATGCTGGGGCCTGGGGAGGGCGCTGCACCAGGCTTCCCGTCACCCACACCTGCCTCTGCAGACATCAACGAGTGCACGTCGCTGTCCCAGCCCTGCCGGCCGGGCTTCAGCTGTATCAACACGGTGGGCTCCTACACGTGCCAGAGGAACCCGCTGATCTGCGGGCGCGGCTACCACACCAGTGAGGACGGAGATAAGTGTGTGGGTAAGGCCAGCTGCCTCTGCCCCACCGGCCAGCCATGGCCTGCCTGAGTTCCCCGCCCGTGGAGGCCCAGGCAGAAGGAGCACCCAGGCCTCAGGGTGCCCTGCTCACCCCCACCCTGCAGACGTGGACGAGTGTGAGGCGGGCGTGCACCGCTGCAGCGAGAACCAGGTGTGCCGCAACCTTCCCGGCTCCTACCGCTGCGACTGCAAAGCCGGCTTCCAGCGGGATGCCTTCGGCCGCTCCTGCATCGGTAAGCGGGGCCGGGCCTGTGCCCTCTGTGCCTCTCCGCCTCCCCCCGCCCTGCACCCCAGTGCCTAAGCCGTGCCCACCTGCCCAAGCCCTCCAAGCCAGCCTTCCAGCCGGGCCCCCCTGCAGGGCCTCCCCGCTCACTACGAACTGCGCACCACGTCCCTGCCACCCTGTGCCCCTGCCACTGTGCTTCCTCTTTGCTCGGTCTTTTCTGCTTCTCTTGGTCTTGGTCTCTGTCACCTCTCCCTTGCCTCTTAGGTGTCTGTCTGTCCCTTGTCCTCTGTCTCTGCCTCTCACCCCCCTGCCACCCAGTCTCTTTGCTTCTCCCCTCCCCTGTCCAGGCCTCTCTGTCCTTCTTCTCAGTCCCTCCCCCACCCTACCCCATCTGTGGCCCTGGGTGGTACCTGGGGGTGGAGGGAGCTGGCTTCCGGGACACCCACCCTGTTCCCGCCGTGTGCCCGCCCACCTGCAGACGTGAACGAGTGCTGGGCCTCGCCGGGCCGCCTGTGCCAGCACACGTGTGAGAACACACTCGGCTCCTACCGCTGCTCCTGTGCCTCTGGCTTCCGGCTGGCCGCCGATGGCAAGCACTGCGAAGGTACGCTGGCCCTGACCTCTGACCTTGACCCTGGCCTCTGACCCTACACAGGCTGGCATCCGCTACAGGCAGAGCATCATGGGAAACCCGGAGCCTCACTGGCCCTCCACCCCGCACCTTCACCCACGCCCTCCCCTGCCGGCCCCTCTCTCCTCCGTGTGGCCAGACCCTCCCGGCGTGCACTGGTCCTGCTGTTTCCTGCCTTGAATTGCCCGCCGAGGGCCTGGGGCCTGGCTCCCCCAGACAGAGGGGCTGGGTCTCTGTCATCTGCACCCCAGACGGGCTTCTCACAGGCAGGGACAGCAGCCCAGCTCTCTGCCCCGCCAGCTGGCACGGTCCCTGATGGAGCAGGGTCTGCTCCTGGTCATGGTCACAGTGCCCTGGGTTGTAGGCAGGGGACAGAAGCGAGTGACACCTAAGAGAGAGCTCAAGGCAACCCGGAGAGCCAGGGCCACAGACAGGGGTCCGCAGAAGGGTGCCACCAAGCACGCGGCTCCAAGGTGGTCTGACCTCCCTGACTCTCCAGAAAATCTGAATTTTTGTAAAATCTGCTGGTTTTTACGTGAGGATGGGTTTGAATTTTTAAAGAACACGCTGAGTCAAACCAAGCCCTTGTGCAGACTGGACCAGGCCCACAGCTGGCATCAGAGGCCGTGTACTCACCCATGCGGGACACACCCAGGGCTGATAGGGGGCTGTCGTGCTGCGGTGCTGGTGGGCCAGGAATGGGCATGAGTGTGGACTGAGGCCGCCAGGCTGCTCTGTGAGGAGGCGAGGCTGAACCAGGGGCCGAGGGGTCTTGGCCCCACGTAGCTGGCATTGTCTTTCCCAGCCCCTCCTGTCGAGAGGCACTTTCCTCTGGGTGAGGTGAGTCCGCCGAGACCCCTGGGGAGGCCGTGCGTCCCCTCTCACTACCCAGCCTGGAAGGGAGCGTGGCCAGGCCTGGCTGCTGGGCGGCATCTGGATGGGCTCCTAGAGGCAGACTTTGTCCCATTCTTTCATGGGCTGGGAGCATCCCGCCGTGACCGCTGGCCGGTGTCCCTGCAGATGTGAACGAGTGTGAGGCCCCGCGCTGCAGCCAGGAGTGTGCCAACATCTACGGCTCCTACCAGTGCTACTGCCGCCAGGGCTACCAGCTGGCTGAGGACGGGCACACCTGCACAGGTACCTGTCCGCTGCCCCTCCCAGAGAGGCGCCCCTTCCCCTCGTGGCAGGCTCCCAGACAGTCGCTCCGGGGCCAGGGACACACAGGACACACAGAGGTTTTAGCGTCCACTCCGAGTTCAAGTCCCAGCCCTGCGATTTCTTGGCTGTGTGACCTGGGGCAGATTGCCTCCCACTCTGACCTCCGGGGAGTGGAGGATTAAGTTAAATGTCTTACATGAGAGTGCCCAGGCCCGCGACTGGCACTGATTGGCCCTCGGCTGATCATAGCCGTCATGGAGCAGCCGCAGGGAGCAGCCACTGCGGGGGAGGCCTATTCTACTGTGTGGCCTTAGACAGCTCGCTTTCACTCTCTGAGCCCTCTTGTCCTCATTTGTAAAACGGGCCCCCAAACTCTGTGGCTGTGACAGGGACAGGCTGACTGTCAGTGGCTGGGCCCTGCGGGCGGACGGGATTTACCAGGGCTGAACCTCTCTCTGACAGACATCGATGAGTGTGCGCAGGGCGCCGGCATCCTCTGCACCTTCCGCTGTCTCAACGTGCCAGGGAGCTACCAGTGTGCATGCCCAGAGCAGGGCTACACCATGACAGCCAACGGGAGGTCCTGCAAGGGTGAGCAGTGGCCCATGCTCTGTCAGGCCTGGGGCAGGCTCTGGGCAGGCACAGGAAGCCTCACATGGCTTGCATGTGCTCGGAGCTCCAACACCAAGTGCATGAGCACAGGATGGCCAGTGCCAGCAGTGGTCATATTAACTGAGGTCTGTGCCTGGGATGAAGAAGGTGACAGTCTTGCTGCTGCTCGATCCAGCTTAGACTCTTCCAGGCTTGGGCTCAGCTCTGGCCCATGCCCTGGGAGCGGGGCAGGGATACTGTGGGGTGGCTCTAAGGAGGCAGGAGACCTACTCAGTCAGGATACTGGAGAAGGACAGCCGCAGAGGTCCTCGTCACTGTCAAGTCTCTGCGGCGCTATGCAGGGACAGGGGGCAGGCAGCTCAGTGGTCCCAGAGGGTAGAGCGGGACCCCCAGGAGCAGGGGAGATGGGCACAGGGAGGCACTTCTCAGCCCCGGTGCAGAAGGCGTCCTCCCAGTGACGGCTGTGCAAAGCCAGAAAGGGCTGCACGGGGAGGGGCTCCTGCCACTGGGGACATGCAAGACGGGGCTGGCAGTCACCTGGAAAATTTGCAATAGCAGGGACTGTGTCCCTGGATGGGGACCAGGTTCTGTGACATTTAAGGTTCCTTCTAAGCTAGAGAGTTCAGCCTCTAAGTTCAGCGCCATCGACCATTAAATTCTGGGGCCACCAGGGCAAGGTTGGGGGGCAGGACGCAGGAGGGGCACAAGCATCCCCTGGGAGAATCAGCCGCAGCACCGCAGAGCTCGGACCACCCGGCCTCCTCCTGGCTGCAGGGGCCACGTCCTCCCCGATGGCAAAGCTGAGGGCCTGGAGTTCTCTGGGTCACAGCCTTCGGGGTGTGGCCAGGGCCCTGGCCAAGGCTTGGGCATCTTCTTCATCTACAAACACAGGTCCTGGTATTCCTGGGGACCAGAGGTCAGAATTGGCCCCGGAAGGGTACGTATGGCCTTACACCAGCACCGTGCGGGCTGGTGCTTGCCACCTGTAAATGGATCCTGAGATCGAGTTAGTAGCCTCAGCCAGCGGCTTGTGTTCTCTGTTTTTATTAACGCGGAGCGGAATCCGCACAGGGCAGGTGGGGGGTGGCGGGGGTGAGTCAGAGTGTGCTGCGCCGACAGGTCCTGCTCCCTGGGTGTGTGCTTGGTTGCAGTGTAAAAGGAGCCCTTGCTGTAGGTGGGTGTGAAAAACAGTCATAAATGAAGCGGCAAGGCCCTGCAAGTCGCCGACAGGGAGGCCTGTTAGCTCACAGGGGCTGGCCCGGGGCTCCCTGGCTGCAAAGCCCTCTCCTCCTTAATTTAAAAAAAAAATTGATCTGGCCTCTGTAAAAGGTAAGGATTTTACTTGCCGTATGCTCAGCTGGGCAGGAATTATGACTTTACGCTTCTAGAACATGATTTCACATGTGACGCAGGCCCTGTTCCCGCTAGTGGCAGAACGCAAGTGTGTCCGACACTGCGGTGACGTGCTCTTGCAGGCACTTTGGAGGATGAAAACCCTCCACATTCAGGGTGGTCTCTCCCTGGTCCCCCTTCTCTGGCCATGCCAAGTACTTGTGGGGGGTCTGCTGACATCCACAGGTGCCCGCACTGGCCACTGTCGAGGGCTTCCTGGGGGCCGCACGTGCCCCAGGGGTGGACCTGCCCCCAGTGCCTCTCTCCTGCCCAGGCATGTCCCTGCCCCTCTCTCTGCACCCTCTTCCTGGGGTGGCTGCCTCTGTCCCCGCAGCCTGCCCCGAGGCACAGACCGCCCCCCCCAGGCCCTGCTGTGTCGCCCCCACCCGCACGCTCTTTCTTTCTCCAGACTCCTCTGAAGAGTCTTCTGGCGTCATGGGGTGGATGAGGGCACAGCGGGGCTGCCGGCTCCCCTGGTCTCGTCCCCTTCCCAAGTCACCCCGCGTACCCGCGTCTGCGGCTGACGACCTTAATGCCGAGAGGCTGTCCCTTTGCACCCCCTTGTCCTGTTCTGACTCGGGACAAACGCCGAGGTCTGTCGGCTCACACTGGGGACGAGAGGCTGGCCCTGGGGGAGCGAATGTGCTGGCTGATGTCTCCACGAGCCTCCTGCCACTCCTCAAAAAGGACAGAAACTGCAGGGGAAAGTAGTCAGCTGTCTCTCCCGGAGTCTGTGCTCCAGTGGGCCGGGCCACGTCCCCAGCACGCAGAGCGACGCCTAGCACGTGGTCGGTGGCCAGTGAACATTTGACCATGTAACTGAACTGAGGGCAACTACCGCTCACGCTTGCACGTATTTCCTTGTAGTCTTCCCTTGTGCAGATATGTGCGTGTTTCACAGGCACTTTGTGTGAAACACCCGTTAAGATGGATCACGCTGAAAATAATCTCGAATCCCGCTTTTCTAGCTGAGCTCTTCTCCCGGGCACTCTCGCCTTACACTGACTCGTCCTCAGCCTCAGAGGCCGCTCTCCGGGGCTGCGTCTGCGTCCTTGCTGTCTCTGTGTTTCTTTGCCTTGCTCCCACTTCTGCCCGTCTGAGTCGAGGCTGGTGCTCGCCGTCTCTGACGGCCTCGGGCCTGGTGCAGCTCGCGGGCCAGCCTGCGCGGTCGATGGCCCCCAGGCACCAGGAGCCTGGCAGCCCCAGTGGGCGAAGCCCCTGGGTCCTAGGGAAGCCTATACAGCCTGACCCTTCCCGGCCCTTCCCTCTGGACATCCCCATCAGTGCCCACCCAGGGCAAAAGCAAGAAGCAAGCTCCCGGCCGTTCCTGCCCCACTGTGGCCAAGCTCCGGGGGCAGCGCAGTGGGCGGCCCAGGGTGTGGGTTGCGGAGCAGGAGGCCTTCTTCCCGGGATCCAGTCAATGCACAATCAGCAGGACAGCGACTGCTTCCAGCCTGCGCCCGCCCTGCGAGGCCCCTTGCCGTGTTTTCTCTCTCCCACCCGCCTTGAAACCACCCTGGGAAGTTGGGATCATTACCCACTTTACAGGGGAGGTAAGCGGGGCCTGGAGAGGTGAAGAAAGGTGAGCCGACTCCGCAGGAGAGCCTGGTAGCCAACAGCCCAGAGTCCGGGGCGGTCCGGGGTGTTGAGCCCTGGTCCTGGCCTGCTGCTGCCATGTGACCTGAGCACATCTGTGCATTCTGGGGACACCGGAACCTGCCTCGTGGGGTTGGTGGGAGTGCAGAGCGCCTCGAGCACCGTGAGGACATCAGGTGGTGAACTCTGGGTGCAGTGCAGCTGTTATCGTTATTACTCTTATGTTGTTGTCGTTAGGAGTTAGCTTGGCATCATCATTGGATCCCAGATTTGGCATCAGGCAAACCTGACTTGCTGCCCGTTGACCACTGTGTGACCTTGAGCAAGGCTGTGCCCCTCTCTGAGCCTCAGTTCCCTCCCCTGTCTCAGGAGGCCAGTGATCCTCACCGCACAGGGCTCGGGCGAGGATTGAGTGAGGAGCAAGCCCTGAGTGCAGTCAGTGTGGAGGATCGGAAAACAAAACTGAAGCCCTCCAGCGCTGCCCCCCGAAAGGCCTCCTGCTTCCCACCCCAGGAGACAGCCCCCCAGGCCTCCTGAGGCTGCCTTCTCTGGGCTGAGCAGCAGATGCTCAAAGAAAGGGTCTCTAGAACTCGTTTATTTGATCTGTGTCCTACAGGTTGCCTGGGTCTCGCACACACACACTTGCACCCCTGCGCTTCCTTCTCCGAGCTCTCATCCGCGTGCGTGTATGCAAGCTTCTTTGCCAAATGGGCCCTCTCTGTGTGTTTGTGTGTTTCTGCGTACCTGTGCGGGCGTGCGTGAGCTTGTGTGTGTACTTAGCCTGTGTGCCTGTTGGAGTTTGCACATGCATGACTGTTTCTGTGCGTGTATACAGGAATCCTGTGCGTGTCTGTTGTTTACGGGGGCATTTGTAGCTGTGCATCTGAGACTGTATGAGTGATGGGTCTTGCATTTCCGTCCAACAATACGTGCTGAGTGCCTGCTCTGCGAGGCCCTCTGCCGGGTGCTGGCACACCCCTGCCCTCCTGGAGTCCAGGCTGGGGAGGAGACGGGGGAAAGAGGACAGCCATACAAAATAGCCTAGGTATGTCTCAGAGTGTGACAAGCAGTATAAGGATGAGAAAACAGGGTGGGGTGGATTGGAGAACAGTGGAGGAGGAGGATCATGGGGTGGTCAGGGAGGCCATCCTGGAGGAGATGTCTTAAGATCTGAGACTTAAAAGATGAAAAGAAGCCAGCTGTGGGAAGATGTGGGGAAGTGTCCCAGCAGTGGCAACAGCATGTGCAAAGGCCCTGGGGTGGAATAAGAGTCAGGTTGTTGGGATGGCCCAGAAGTGTCCAGCAGGACTGCAGCCCGTGTGGAATGGGAGAGGCTGCAGGAAGGCACTGCAATTGTAGGCCTTGGTGTCTGGGGGAGGGACTTGGGATTTTATTCTGGGAGCAGCAGAAGCCATCAGAGGACATGGCATAAGATGATCTACATTTTAAAGCAAAGCCCCAGCTGCTGGGTGCAGAGTGGGCAAGGTGGGGCCTGTGTGGCTCAGGATGGCGGGAGGGCTGCTCTGAGGCCAGGCCTCCAGTGTAGGCTGGGGACCCCAGCTGTGGGAACCCTTCCATCGCCCTTCCTGTCCTCCCTCAGACCTGGACGAGTGTGCACTGGGTACCCACAACTGTTCCGAGGCCGAGACCTGCCACAACATCCAGGGTGGCTTCCGCTGCCTGCGCTTGGAATGTCCTCCAAACTATGTCCGTGTGTCCAACACGTGAGTGCCCCCACCCCGGCCATGGGCCCAGAGACCCTGCACTGACCCCATGCCACCCAGGGTGGGGCCAAGTGGTGGGTGCCCCTGCCTTGACCAGCTCCCTCTCCTCACAGCCCCCGGCCGCTGCTCTGGGGCCGCCGATGCAAAGCAGATAAAAGCACCTTGCAGGAAGTTCAGTCTAGAGAAGGAAGGGAAGACGACCCACAGAAAGTGCCACCCTTACCGCTCTCTTTCACGCACACGCTTGTTAGTTAGAGCCGCGTAACGAATTATCCCAGCCTTTAGCACCCTGGTGCAGCAAATGTTTGCTCCTTTATTATTCCACACGGTTTCTGGCGGCCGGGGGAGCAGAGGGGCTGGGTGCTTCTGGCTTAGGATCTCCTGAGGCTGCGGGCTGGGCTGCAGGATCCTGTCACCCACTCATGGGGCTCTGGGCCGGAGACCTCAGGTCCTCAGCACGTGAGCCTGTCCACGAGGCTGCTGCGACATGCCATCTCCCAGCACAGGTCCCCAGGAGAGCGAGCGACAGTCCCTTAACCTCACTTAAGCCTGCAACCAGCAGACTGTCACTTCTGCCACCAGCCACACAGTCCAGCCCACAGGAGGGGGTCCGGGAGGTGACCAGGCAAGGTGTGGCTCCCAGCAGGCAGGGCGCCAGGTACACTGGGAGGAAGGAAGGGGAAAGGGACGAACGGAGGCAGGAGCATCCAGATGAGCAAACCAGCGAGGCACCATGCCCAAACCCTCCGCCATGCTGTCAGCGAGACCAGGGGCAGTCAGTCGCCTCATCTCACCTGGGGAAACAGCCCCAGGGACACAGCCGATTCGCTTGAGGCTGCCTGGCTGCGGAGGCTAGAGCCGGCCCTTGAGCCTGCCACTGAGGCCGGGCCGTGTCCGGGGGGCGGGAGAGCTGTGGGTGACTCAGCGCCCGTGCCCCGCAGGAAATGCGAGCGCACCACGTGCCACGACTTCGTGGAGTGCCAGAACTCCCCGGCGCGCATCACACACTACCAGCTCAACTTCCAGACGGGCCTCCTGGTGCCCGCACACATCTTCCGCATCGGCCCGGCGCCCGCCTTCGCGGGGGACACCATCGCGCTGACCATCGTCAGGGGCAACGAGGAGGGCTACTTTGGCACGCGCCGGCTCAACGCCTACACGGGCGTCGTCTACCTGCAGCGGTCAGTGCTGGAGCCCCGGGACTTCGCCCTGGACGTGGAGATGAAGCTCTGGCGGCAGGGCTCTGTCACCACCTTCCTGGCCAAGATGCACATCTTCTTCACCGCCTTCGCACTGTGAGGCGCCCGCCGGGCTGTCACCGCGGCGGCGCTTGCTATAGCTTGGTAAATTAACTTAATTTTGCTGACTCGATTCCTCTGGGGCTCTGGGCCTCTCCTGTGGCCTGCGGGCCGCTGAGCAGCGGAGCCGTCCGCACCCGGGCACTGAGTGGGAGCCTGTGGGGACGGGCCACAGGCTGCATGGCGGCCTGCAGACCGCGAGGGCAGCCACCAACTTGGGGCTTTTGGACGCACCTGGATGACCTGTCCCCAAAGCTGACATTCCATTTCATGTTCCACTGTGATTAACTCCTTTTTTAAAAATCATTTTTAAACTTTTTTGTTTAATTATAAAAGTAGTACATCTACATTGTAAAAAAAATCAACTAGTACAAAAGGGTTATAAAGTACAAAAAGTAAAGTGCCTCTGGGTCCCTGTACTTCTGAAAAGTGTCCTGTGTTTGCCTGTGGCCAGTGTGTCTGTTTGTTATCAACCCCTTTCTTGATGGTCAAATGATGAGCCCCCGAGCCCAGAGTTTACCTTGGGGGTGAGGGAGTCCCAGGGTAAACAGAGGCTGAGTCTGGGACCCTTTCTTGTGCTTCTCCTGCGTCCTTCCCTCCTTTCTGCTCCCCTCTCCTCCCTTTTCCCCTCTCGGGGACCTCGGCTGCCAGTTTGTCACTTGGATGGCGTCCGGAGCCCCAGGACTGGTCCCTGTGGCCGAGGCCTGTAGACGTCAGGTCAGGCAGCAGGCTGGGCGATGTGAAGGACGCAAGAGTTCAGTTTTTCCAGGGAGTTTGGTGTAGGCTTCTGGGGCTTTTAGGCTGGGCAAGGGAGGAGAGTACGAGAACAGGGGAAACCAAGGCCCTGGGAGGGGAAGGGACATGCCCGCTAGGCCCTGAGTGGCGTCTGGACCCAGCTCTGAGGACCCCAGGCGTGCACGCTTGCCACTGCCCTGGGCTCTCTCTGAGCAAGCAGCCCATGACTGCATGTAGTGGGATGCAGCGAGCATTTTAAAAATGACGTGGGCTAGAGTAGACAATATCCAAGTGCTTCACAGCTGGTAGAGAGAATTGCTTCGCCAAGCCACGGTGCTCGTGTTCGTGTGCACACACACGTGGGCACGCCAGCTCCGGCTGCGACGGAAAGTACATTTCTTGCCATGAGGGTGGCGAGGACGGAGTGGGCCTGGGCCACACTGGGGAGTGCACGCCCTGCGTGAGGCGTGGCCACACTCAGCTCCAGAAACTGCCACCTCTGGGTGCAGGTCCAGGATGGCCTGATGGTTTCATTCTTCAAAAGAAGTTCCAAAACTACATTTTGGTGTAGAATCCTTTGATTTTTAAGATGCGGCGACTAATTAAAGCTTTTTAAAGAACAGGTGTGAGTCACTGGAAGCCGCTTGCTGTGAGTAAGCCCGCTGTCATGAGGCCTTTCCTCCCCTGCTCCTTGCTGGCCTCTGTCCCCACAGGGGTGAGGCAGGAGCCAGGACTTCCTTGTCACTGGCCCCACTGCCTCCGTTCCTTCTGCTTCTCTGGTTTTCAGAAAAACCAGAGCTAGTGACTTTGTTGTGCACAGTCGCCTACCTGGCAGGAGCCAGGATGCAGGGACTCCATTTGAAAGGATGGGCAGTTTAGGGACACCAGCAAGGGACAGGACAGGTGGCACTGGGATAGCGGCAGCCATTCTTCTCCTGCCCAGGCGCAGGTTCTCCCCTCAGCCGTTGAGTTATTCCCTCTGGGACCTCGGGCCAGCGACTTCACCCTCCTGGGCCTCATTTGTGTCACCTGTGAGCAGGGACACCAGCTGTTCTTCCCGCACAGGCTGCTGTGCCCATAAGTGAGCAACGCATATAAATCACCAGCCTGGTACCCAGCACACTTCCGCGTGGGCTCCCGGAAAACAGTTTTCCTGCTGACCTCAGAGTCTCTAAGGTTCGGTGATCTAGAATTCCATGCCTACAAGTCTTGCAAACTCCAGTTTGAGGGAGTGGCCGGACTCGAGCTCGGGGATCCCCAGGAGCACCCTCACATCTGACCAGCTGGCTACAAATTTGGGGGCCCTTATGACCATCGTCGGTTTTAAAAAAATTTTTTTTTTTTAATTTCAGCATATTACGGGGGTACGAGTGTTTAGGTTACGTATATTGCCTTTGCCTCACCTGAGTCAGAGCTTCAAGCGTGTCCATCCCCCAGACGGTGCGCACTGTACCCATTAGGTGTGGATATACCCATCCCGTCTTGTATTATCCTGGATACAGCTGGAACCCATCGTCAGGTTTGTGAATTCACCTGAATGACGCGGGAAAGCACTGTACTTAGAATCACGCTTGTGTTGGATCCAGGATGCAAGTTAAATCATCCGAAGGCAGCAAGCCATCGGGCAGAACCCGGGAGGGTGCAGACGCAGAGCTCCCGTGTCCTCAGGACGCATTGCCCTCGTGGCCTGGATGTGTGGGAGCTGGATCACATCCTGCCAGGGTGGCTGACCGTCAGTCTCTCGGGGGTCGGAACTGATGCTGCGTGTCCCAAAGCCGCCGGGAAACAAAGGCACTCCTGTCAGGCAGGAGATTTGGGGGGCTGACACCGCAAATCAAGCAACCCTGTCTTGGCCAATCAGAGCGTTCGCAGAGCACACCCAAGCGACAGTAGGATCTGGCGCTCCGCAGGTGGTTCCAAAGTTGGCCCTGGGGGAAGCCTACCTGCTGGTGTGCGCACTGAGCACCTCTGTGCATTCCCCAGGTGGCACGTTCCTGCACCAGCCATTTCCACTGCACGTGAAACATCTGTGGACACTGCCCTCCCCGTCGGAGTGTTTCTCAGACATTGCCCAGAACATTCTGTGCATTTCAGGAAGGACTATTTTATGGCCTTCAGTCACAAGGGCAGTTTCAGTCAGAGTCCAATAATTGTCCCTCACATGGAAACCTTCCAGTCCCAAATCCCGGTGGTCACTCCTGGGTGACACCGACAAGATTTCACCAGAAAGCCCAGTGTGCGCAAGGACTCCAGGCCTTCTTTGAGTAAGTTCTATCGATAGGAGCTAGCAATGTTCCCGGGTGTGGACTGTGCGCCCCCACAATATAGACGAGCCGACCAGATGCTGGTTCTCAATCAGTGCTGCCTGAAGGGCAGACCGACGCGCCTTTGACCTTGCAGTACTGGTCCCCGGGCAGGCACGGTGTCCGTCTCCATAATGTGCTCAGGTCACGGAGACGCAACCACTTCACAGAGAGTTTGTTCGAACATTCCAATTTTCATCTAAATGCTCACCTTAGTGCCACCAGCGCCTGCGTTTCCAAATCCTTCCGAACTGACTGGGCCCCATCGGACTTTACCAGGAGGTTTTGGAGTCACACATGGGCTCCATGAAAGGAGTCTGCGAGACTCTATACCCCCAGCCATGTCCCCACTCGGTGCACACGGCTTTGGGCCCTGCTGGGGCTGGGCCAAGGGACCTGACTTCCCTCGGCCGCACTTGATTAGAGTGTGCGACCTTCGCCTCAGGCAGTTCGAGGTCAGACTTCTGCCATCTAAGGCCTCCCTGCTGTTAAACGTCCTGCCAACTGGGATGAATAAAGCAGATTTGTTTAGGGCCCTTCCTTGCTGGGGGCGCAGCCGGGGCCTCCTTCAGTCCGCAACTCCCGAGAGTGCGGCGTTGGCACCTCTGCTTTGGCCCCACCAATGTCCACCTCATTAATGGCATTTCTTTTTCTTTTTCTTTTTTTTTTTTTGAAACAGAGTCTCAATCTGTTGCCCGGGCTAGAGTGCCGTGGCGTCAGCCTAGCTCACAGCAACCTC